AAAAAAAAAAGAAAAAAAAAAGAGGTTTGGACTTGTGTGAGAGGTTTAGACTATAAAAGAAAAAGAGACTGGGTTCTCCATAAAAGGCCGGGGTCTCCAAATGGAATCTGGGTCCACATGAGGGCGTTTGCCCCCATAAGCAGATATTGAGTCCCAAAAAGGGTTGGGATCCCCATAAAGGGTGTTGGATCACCAAAAGTGGTCTAGGTTCCCCATGATAGGGGCTGGATCCCCCAAAGGGTTTTGAGTCATCAAAAGGAGTCTGATTTCCCCCAAAAAGGGCTGGATTCCTGTAAGGCTGTCAGACTCCAAAAGAAGGGACTGACCCCGATGAGGGTTGTGGATCTCTGAAAGGGGCTTGGGTCGCGTAAGCAGGGGCTGGCTCAAAAGAGGTCTGGGTCATCAAAGGGGAATTGGGTCCTTATAGGGAGGCAGGGCTCCAGAAGTGATCTGGGTCCCCAGAAGGAGGTTGGATCCCATAACCAGGTGCTGCCCTCTTGAAGGCGTCTGAGTTCCCAAAAGTGGTGTGGGTCCCCAAAAATGGTATTGGATCAGCAAAGTGGATCTGAGTTACCCTAAGGGGTGTTGGGCCACCAGAAGGGATTGAAACCCATAAGTAGATGCTGGCATACAAAAGGTGTCTGGGTTCTCCATAAAGGGTCCAGATGCCCCAAAAGTCGAGGTCCCCCTGAAATAGACTGGGGTCCTCCCAAGCAGAAGATGCCCAAGGCACCTGGAGGCGATGGAGCTGCTCCGAGGAATCGCTGGACGGCGGGCGCGGGTTCCCAGCGGTGCGGGGGCCTTTTCCTGAGCCCCCGGGGCCGTTTCCCTCCGCGGTGGCGTTTACCATGTTTGGAGGCGGCCGTGATTAACACTTCCGCACAGGAAGCCGCGGCGGGCGCCAGGCTTCCCTCCCAGGGCCGGGGTCCAGGGCTGCCGCCCTCGGCTCCGCGCTTCCTCCCGCACTGCCTCCCTGCGTCCCCAGTGCATCCCGCATCCCCCAAACGCCCCTCCAGGCTGTGGGGATCGGGGAGCATTCCAGAGCTATGTGGCGTCCAACAGCTTGGCCGTGTTTTCATTGATCACTGCTGCAGGGCCGAGTTTGGCATGAAATCCAAGCTACAGGACGGGGGGGGGGGGGGGAAAAAAAAAGGAATATCCCAGAAAATAAGGACATTTTCTGCATGCTTTCATTTATTCCAGCAAAAGTGAGACAAGTTGTGCATGGAGCAAAAATCTTTTAGTCCTTGCGATGTGTCAGATAGACGGTCCTAACCCCAGATGTGAGTGGAGTCCGTGTGCGAGAAGGGGCTTTTCCAGCAGAGCGTTCGGGCTTCTCTTTCCAAAGCGGAGCCTTTCCCTTGGAAAAAGTCGAGCTTGAAGCACTGCAGCCCAGAGAAGAAAAAGCCTCTTCCCCCCGAGGATGCAGAACCCGCCAACGATATAAGGCGCTTTTCCTGCGTAGGTTGCGAGAAGTTTTTCAGTTTGACTCGATGTGTATCTTGCTGCTGTCACCACTCTGTGCCTCCTTCCGATTGGCCATGAATTTCAGAGAAAAAAAGAGAAAGAAAAAAAAAAATATGTGGTTTCTTTTCAACCTGGTGGCAGCCTGGGGCTGGCTCAGCTGGCCGGGCCCTGTGAGAGCATTGCTGCCTGTCCCACAGCCAGAAAGTGGTCCCGCCAGCATTGAAAGGCTCCAGGTGCTTCTTGAGTGATGGATCTGGAGAACCTGGGCTCAGATATATAAGAGCTGAGTTATATGTTTTTCTTCTATTTTTTTTTCATCTTTTTTTTCTTTTTCATAATTTGAGAGGGAGTTTTGCAGCTGCCTTGTGCTAGAGCTTGGGTGTGCTTCAGGATGGGTCCTCAAATGGCTATATGGGACCAGGGGGATAAAGAAACCCCACAACTGAACCAACTCGGTGTGAGTTAAAAAAGGGTTTTTCATTGGATTTTTTGATGGTAAAAGACCACATAAGAAGATGGCATAAAAGTAACAAAATAATTTTCAGGCTGTTCACCTGCACTGGGAGTGATGGGTCCATACTGGGACAGTACAGCCCTTTCCTAACACATTATGCTATGCTGAATATATATATATATATAAGTATGTGTGTATATATATATACACACATTATACATATATATACACACACACACACATATATATACATAATTATAAGCGATGTAAAACCCATCTCCTGCTCCGGACTTGGGACTGAGGAGCTGGGCAGAGGTCCAGGGAGGACTCCCCCCATCCTGCTTTATGCAACTTTAATTCTCCCCTGAGTGCTGCTGCCTTTCAATAGCGTCGCCATGAGGTCAGGGACGTTACGAGCCTCCCCAGACTTATTTGTCTGGAAGCGTTTCTTGTAAAAACAACGACGCAGGGCTCGGGCACCACGGCGCGCGAGGGCGGCAGAAGCGAGAGTTTGCAAACACGAGTGCCACAAAAGCCTCTTTATCACCCACAGCGGCTTTTTCCTGGTTGCTGGTTGTATATGTATGTTATATATATATATAAATATATATATGCATGTATTTTTTTAACCTGGTTTCAAGATTTTAAAGAAGCACAGTGGGAGAGAGAGGGATGAACATTGCCCCGCTGCGGCCCAGAGAGGAGTCAAAAAGGACAATAAATCCAGGTGCTTCCACTTTGCATGCTGGCTTTACAGTGCCTAAATTTGCATGCTGCGGGGGCTGAGGTTTCCCCTTACCTGCAGGAGCTTTAAAAAAATCAATTTTTCCCCTTCAAGCCAAAGGCAAGATTTTCATTTAACGACCTGATGCTGGGAGATGGACTTCCAAGGGAATTTCCAAAAATGTGGCTGTTTCCCTGTATCGTCCATCCGTATTTGCATGAACACCAGAATTAGAGCAAGGCTTTGATAAGCCAACATGTCTACGTGAAGCTCAGTGGGGCAATGAAAAGAAGAGGCCTTTTGTTTCCAAAATTGGCTTTTATTTTCATTTTGAAATCAATCTATTCAGGACAACAGCGAGAAAAAAAGGAAAAAAAAAAAAAAGTGATTGAGCTTAATCCCAAAGGAAATGTTGTCCAGAGCCTAAAGCCCATTTTTTTTTGTGTGTGTGTGTGACTGAAGCTCTCCCTCCAGGTGTGATTTGCACTTCATCCCCAGGGATCCTTCCTGGCCTGAGGCTGCTAGCGTCGTGCGCCCACGGAGCATCCCAGCTTTAACTCCGCAGCAAAAACACAGCCAGGGAGAAATAGTTCTTGAAGGCAAGCATTGTAATTTACTAACAGGTTTATTAAAATCTTATTAGAAGATTACATTTTTTTTTTTCCAAGTCCGTTTTACACAGCCGTTGCCCTTCTGCTGCTGCCGCCTAATCCTGGAAAAGCCTAGTGCATGAGTCATTTGCACTTACTATCTATTACACTCTCTTATTATAAGCCTGAGTGTGTTTGCGTTTGCTGCAGATAGTATCAAAACAGCCGTAAAATCTCCCGTGCCTTCCCGTTTTGGGAGTTTGGTGCTGTTGGGAATGAGGAGTTTTGGTGTAGTTTCATGGAGGGGCTTCTGGCCAGTGGGGGAAAATAGGGATCACTTTGGTTTGAAATAGCCTCTAACAGCGCTGCCCTGGTCCTTGTCCTTAGGAAGTGACTGTTCATGTGTATTTTGGGGGTTGTTAGGTCAGGGATATGTCACCGAGGGAGAAAGGACATTCCTGCTTTGTCAAGGCCACCTTCATCACCGAACTGCTGCTGTCCACATATGTGGTAGTCACCAGGAGGAACACATCTAGCAGCAGCTGGCCAGTGAGAGATGAGAATTGCCTTAC